CAAATTATGTCACCTAAATAAGGAGACTGCCTCATTATTTCTGATTTAGCAGTAGTCTGGAATATTAAATGAAGCATATAGAGTTGAATTCAGTATTTGGAGAGGAAATAAGCATAACACAGCTGAAACTGGATAAAAAAAAAAGTCTGGAGACACTGTCTCCTTATTTAGTTCTGCTCCACTAACCAACTGGCCAGCACTAGAGTGAACATAAGCAGGAACTTGGGTGTGTGCAAAAGTAAACATTTTGTCACTTATGTACATTTCACATGGCTGAAACTAACTGTGAGAAGTCATTCAGCACCCATCACACAACAGTTTAAGATCTTAGGAGGTTAAGCAGAATACACACTCTAAAAAGAGAAAGATTAGAAAATGCAAACATATTTCGACATTAAAAAAAACAAGTAGCGAGAGCAGGTGACTTCTTAATAAAGGACTTTTACAGACTCAAGAGTTCTAGTAAAGATTTTCTGGGGAGGTAGCATATACCAAAATACTTCTAATACATACTAATAATACTTCAAAAAATGGAAAACATTACCTTTTGCTTAGGGCTTTAAGCTAGGTCTTAAAAAATCCAAGAGGCCTGTTCTTTGAGGCTGGACAGATTTCTGCACTCTGATAGGATTAAAGACTCCCATTTATTTTAGAGTTAACTCAGATTAAAAAAAAAAAACAAATCAAAACAACTACATACAATTAAAACCAACCAACCAAAAAACCCAATTAAATTTGAGTTCTATTATTAGAGGCATGAACTATGATCATGGATGTTTTTTTGTTTTGTTTGATCATACATCTTTCTCTAAATTGACACTACAAACACAAACTCTAGTAACTTTTGATAGCTCAGAGTGACACTTTGCAATCAGAACTTGTATAAGACAGACATAAGATACTAATTAGACAGAACAAATGTACTAATACTGGGCTTTTTAATTTATATGTGTTTAGTCCATATTAGTACTTAAAACTTCCCTCTGTGAATATTTAAGCTTACAGTAGCAGCAAGACTGACACACACCTAAGATATCAACAGGCAGTCCAGGCAAAAAGGCCTTCCCCAAAGGCAAGGAGGTTACAGAACTTCACACAGGCCATACTGGCTTATGACAACTAACAGGTAAAGCTGCCTCTGAAGCATTTCACAAAGAACATGACCAATTGCCTGGGGACCCTTGAAAACCTGTGATCATAAACTGCTGCAGGCAGTTTATAAATTCTCAGATGGGGGGTTAGAAAAAAAACGCCTTAAATATAAATAGCTTCCTGGGGTTTATTGCTCACTTCTGTTGACGTCTTTTGTGATATCCATCTCTTCCAAAGTAACCAAAGTAACCCTACTGTAACTGAAGATACAGTTAATCATTATTTGTACCTTAAACCTTCTTTCCAGTTTTAGCCATGATATGCTTACATCTTGTGTGAAAAACTGAATCCAACTCTCTAAATTCCATTTAAGATTTCAGATTACTGCTAAATCAGAAATAATCCAGAGGGAATTTATTTTAAATTTAGCCATTCTTAAGCAAACATATTCCTAAATGCTTTGCATCAGTTCAGCTTAAACCAACCAAATTAAGCTGATGCAACTTGTGAAAACATTCAGTGCTGTGCTCAAGAGACTCAGCATTTCCCCAAGAAAGAACAGGTGTACAACCCTAATCCTAATTTGCATCAGTAACCACAGACACAACAACACTGCAAAGTTTAGTGTAGAGTTTACTGCATGGCACAGGATCCTAGTAAGATTCAGCCTGAGGACATTACTATATATAAAAGACTAAGGACTACAGAACAGAGCAGAAAGAGATGAACTCTAAAGGCAGGAGAAAAGCTAGGAACAGGAAGACATTGCAATATGTAACTTCCAAGATCAGACTTTGGAACCCCCACAGTTCTACTAATATCAGCAACTTCATTTTTATATACAAACTTTATCAATAATAAGTGAGATGTTATTGAAATTTATACATGGCAGTTGAAAGTTAACTTCTAGCAGCTGGGGAGGGCAAGTGACATGTGATTTTTTTTCAGGTACCTTCAAATAAACCGGACATTCTTCCATTCTAGAGTTACATATCGGAAAAACTATTTTTTCTGGAAAAAAAAAAAAGCAATACATGCTTTTTTGCTGTAAAATTCTCCTGTCAGAAAGAATGCAGTGAAGTTCTCCTGATTAATGATGCTCATTATTTTCTCTGATGATCTAAACCCAAACACTGTTTCATTAAGAACCATTTTATTTGAAATCATCACCTCAACAACCTCAGATACTCTGATAACTTTCTTCATCCATACAACAGACTAGACTCCAAGATTTTTAAATGCCATCAGGACCCACCTGACACACAGTAAAGAAAAGTTTTACTCAGCAACCACAAGCATGACCTCAAAGCACAGCAGTCCCCTTATTTTACAGATACTGCTTACATGTTAGCTGGAGGGTAAGTACCACATTTCCCTAAAGCTGATTCACTTCTACTTTATATTTTGGTCCTATTAAAATTCCTATCAACAGCCACAGACTTCCAAAACCAATTATATTGGTAAGAAGTACTTAATTCTCTTTATCACCCATATCCCCACAAGATCTGTTCTGGGGGAAAAGAAACAGTGATACCTGTTAGTGTTAACTTAAGCAAGCATCCTCATACAGGAGACACTTGTGGCTGTTAACTGTTCTGGAGCCTCACTAGAACAGCTGGGTTTCAGGAGAGTTAAGAAATGCCCAGAATAGACTTTGTTTGAAACATAACACAGAGCTTTCTGTGTTATGTAAAACTTCCCCATTAGCAGCTCTGAAGTTCTTCAGCATCTGCTGGGACAGTGGTGCCTGGATGCCTGACATTCTTAGTGTGCACAGCATCTTTGGGGACAGTGGTGTCCATGGTACAAACAATTCTCCCAGCAGGGAGAGAGCTCTGAAGACAGTGGACCTAGTGTTACATTAATCTTCGCAGCATCTGTGCAGACCAGTGCAATACCACAGCCATACTAAATGATATGTTACAGCATCTGTATTGTCCACTCTCCACAAATGGTATCAAAAACTATCGTAGGCCAACAGCCCACCAAAATTAGGAAAAAAAATCCAAACAGAAGATGCATACAAATACCTCTGTCTTCAAAGACCACTTGTGTTCCATGAGATTTAAGTGTAATGAGCCATTTCTTCAAAAACCTTCTACATTTTCTGCTTCTTTTAAAAGGCCACTCATTTTTTAAATCCATCACTTGTTTCAATACTTTGAAAATTAGTGTATTGATTTTTAAGGATTAACAATCTTTATACCTTTAATATGCTATACTCCTACACTGAAAATAAATAACTCCAGGCTTCAGAATTAAAAATACCTAAGATTAAGTCTCTTATTCACCTCTTCCAGAGATAGGAAGGTACATGTATGAGCTGAGTTTTTTGCATTGATAAGGAAATCTTCAGTTTTTCACTATACTGAATCCCTGATAGAACACTTCTGATGTCTACTTGAAACATTAAGTTCTGAATTCATTTCTGTCTTACAATAGTACAACTAGAGCACACTTCTACAATGCAGAAAAGCAGATGCTTATCAACATGCCATCCATAGCTCAATATTTAAAATTCAGGAGTAAAGGCATTCTATATTGAGAGTGCCAACCCGTGACTTAAAAAAAAATCTGTTTTTGCTCTCTTCAAGTTGTCATTTCTCTGTTGTGCAAGTTCACCTCAAGGACAGCACAGAAATCTACCTCATTAGCGGCTTTTATCACCTCACTATTGTTCTCCCCTTAGATTTTCACCTAAAGTTTCTCCTGATCACCACTTGATTTCTCCAATACTCTAAGACTGATATACTACACAGGGTACACTGGAATATTTTTTCTGGAGGACACAGACAAGTATATGTATTTCAGCAGAATATGATAATTTGTGTCTGATTTTGAACTAACAACCTAAAAAGAAAGAAATATGGAAGCAAGCACATTGACCTTTCTAGTAAATTAAGCTCTAGAGTATTTAAGTTAGGGCAAAATAAGGAATAAAAGTTATTAGTTTCACAGCAAGAAAGTATTTAAGGCTATAGAGCCTCAAAAAACCTGCCTAGTCACATAATAATACATCTAAGCAACTACATCAAATATAATAAAAAAGTAAATTGATTTCAGACAAAGTATTTAACAAATGTGGTTTAAAGTGAAGCCTGCCAAACTCCTGTAAGGCCTGCTGTCTCAGATGAAGTACCATGCACCTGTTCAGTTTATGCTAATACTCCTACAGAACCATTCACTTGTATAATTGTGCATAAATTAATAGCTGTCAAGTGGTTTGAGGACAGATGTTTGATTTCCTAAGGTGTTCAAATGAAACAAAATAAAATGTTTAGAAACTGACTAAACTGAACAACAGATATTCTACATTGTATCCTAGTTTTGTTACTTTGCCAGAAGACTATGCATTAACCACTTTTCACAAGGATTTAAAGCTAAATTTACACCAGAAACATACAACATTAAAAGAAATGCAACCTGCCACTAAGTCAAAAGTTTAGTTCAGCAGCAGTTCAGGAAGTTTAACAGTGGCTTCAACACAGCAGACATGCAATAGGAAAAAAAAAAATCTATAACAAAAGACCTTTACAACACCCTTAAGAGCCTTATAATATTACTTTATCTTCCTTCCTGAGCTGAAATTGCACATTTTGAAGTCCCCTCCTGAGCAGCTAGTTATGTGGTACTGCTCTAAGAGGTATGTACACACTGCCCACACCAAAAGCATAGAATTTTACTCTCAAACTCGATATGTTCCACGTTGGCAAGGGAAATCAAAGCAGCAGGTGCCCTCCTCAGCTAGAGGGGCCTCAAACTCTAGAAATGGAAGAGACCACAAGCGTGGGACTGCTCTTCCCAGTCTCTATCCAGCTGACAGCTGTAGGTCTTCTGTGAAAGAGGGTCTCCGAGTGGGCACCTGTGGTACGCCACGCTTTAATCCACCTATGCCGCTCCCAACTTACCTACTCAGCCGTAAAAGCAAAATCTCGCACTGCTGGCAGTTCCTCCTCCAAAGGCGGCTGGAAGTCGTTTTTGGAGCCTCAGGGCTCCTAGGTTTGGGCTCTGCAGGTCCTTATGGGCAGACACTCCCACCGGTGAGGCGGCAGCACGCAGAAGCAGCTAGAAAGTTTGCCACAATCTCTACCTTCCCCTGCAATCTGCTCCTCTCCCAGCCTCAGCCTCTTCTCCCTCCTGGCGAAAGGGACCGGCTTTAAGGGCGGCGGCGGAGACGGCACTTCTCGCAGAGGTTCCCCGCCTCAGCAGTGCCGCAGCTGGAAGGGCTCTCCCGCGGGAGGGCGGCTCCGGCCGGGGGGCGCCGCGGGCAGCGCTCGTTCGGGGCTGCGGCCGCCGCCGTGTTTGCCGCGAGCCTCATGCTCGCCGCGGTGCTCCCTGACATCATTCATTCTGCTACGCGCACGCCCGCCCCCTCCATTTCCAAGCAGTGACTCACCCCGGCGCCGCCGCCGCCGCTGTCCGGGGCAGGGCCGGCCGGGCCTCTCGGAGCCCCCGCCCGCCGCGCAAGGTGCCGGCCCCGGGCGGGCACGGCCCGGCCCCGAACCCCTGCCCCGCCCGGCCTGGCCGTGCCAGCCCCGCACGGCTCCCCCGGGACACCGCTCCGTCCCGCTAGTCCGCAAAAGGGGCGCCGGCACCTGCCCTGCCCACCCTGAAACGCCTGCTAGGGGAAGGGCACCGCCCGCCGCCAGCACGGGGCAGGTGCCGGGGCCGCCCCCGCAGCCAGGCCACAGCCGAGCGCCGCCGCCCTCGCAGCGACGGGCTTCCCGCGTTTGCCGGGGGATTTGATTTCCCCAAATCTGCTCATGTGACAGATGACTGTCACTGAAGCCCCCTGCTTCTCAAGTGTTTCCCCCCCGCCTCTGGACTTGGCTTTCCTCGGGGTTTAGTTTGGCTTTTTTTTTTTTTTTTTTTTTTTTTGCGGTGGGTGGAGGGGTATTTCCCCCCCCCACCCTTTTGTTTTCAAGAGTTCCCCCATCACTACGTAGCAGCCAGATTTTGTTGGGAGTTTTCCAGCGTAAGAAACACGTGATTGGCGGGGGAGGAAGGGAGGCAGGTGTCAGCTCATCCTCACCGAAACTGGCCGTGGCCGATACACACCTGTCCTGCCTCGGTCACCCGGCTGCAGCGCCGAGCGGGCACATGACAGAGCGGCGGCCCGGCACACAGCCCTGGCTCGGGGAAGGCACCTGACCCTCTGTTCGTCACCCCCCTGGAAAGCCCCCTTCACCCAGCTATTGGCTTTTCTGCTTGGGTTGCTCACACTTTGTTTTTTTTCCACAAAAGCTTGGGGGAAGGGAAGAGAGAATCTGCTTGATTCCAGCACAGAGTGGAAAAATTTTCCACACTCAGTTTTCTGTGGGACAGGGAAACTACTCTGGTCCAACAGTGACAGCCAGGGCACTGCTACAGACAGAATGCCAGGACTTCCAAGTTTTATCTCCTGCAGGCTTAATGCAAACAGACTCTTATAACTTGTTAAACAATTTAGCAAGGCTACTGCTGTTCCTGTTGCTAGGTGAATGAACATACACACCTGTAGTGCTGAACCAAAGAGGTCTGCTGGAGCCTCACAGCAATCCTTAATGCCATCTCTACTGTAATCCCTCCTCCCACCACCCCTCCAATTCTCCTAAGTAGGTAATGCTTCCTTTAAAATAAAATCTGAAGGGAAAAAAAGATACCATGGGCAGGGCATTTGTTTTTAACTGATTACAGAGATATCTACCTATGCCTTATTGCATACACAATCACATGCATGCCTTTGCAGAATTGTATCTACAGAGAAGACAATAACAGACAGTAACAGTTCAAGAGTAGAAACAGCAATGCAATTGGAAAAAAAAGTATCTACAGGCAAAGCAAACTACAGCAAAGGCTAAACAGAGGCCTCCCCTAGTTTTCTTTAATTAAAAAGAGCCACTGAAGAAAGGTTAAAAGCAAAGACTGTAAATTTTACTGGCATTTTTCTAAATTATTTAGATAGATCAGTAAGCTGAAACACTGGCGTTACTCTTAAATAATATTCTCTGAAGCACTGCATTTGAGTAAGCAAAAAATAGCAGCTCATTTTCTTACTCCATTCAAGGCTACACTTCACACCCAACCCCACAAGCCCACCCATGCAGATGAGAGGTTGAAGAGTAGAGCTCAGGGGTGGATCTGTGATGAGCAGCTTCCAGGAGAGGGTTTTGAACTAATCTGGTAAGAACTGTTTGCAAGTCCTGCATAACAACACACCTTCAAAAGCAAGCAGCAAATTTGTGAAGTCACAAAATTTACTAGAGGAAATAGCAGCACATCTCTTGACCTTTACTTTAAACTAAATTGACTTCAGAAGATTGTTTTCAGACAGGAATTTAGTGAGAGATAACAAGACTTACAAAATGATAACTTATTTCGAGGTAAAAGAAACCTTGCACACACAGAATTACATGGGGAGACTCACAAGTCACATTCCCCTTCACCTCCCAGGGAGGCAGATGAGAGGGAGAGAATACAGAAAGAGAGCTTTGAGGGGAAAAAAAAAAATTACTGTTTCTTTCACTTGGAACAAACCCAGCATCTTTTTCATTACTGTTTACTTTTTCCCCCTTTCATGAGATCAGCAGGGATATTATTGGAAACAGTAATTCTATAAACGAACACAGCCAGCTTGTGCATTAAAATTCTGACTTTTCCAAAGAGACACTTGGGCAGTTTTCAGAAGTAGCTACCACCAGAATCCTGTTCAGTCCTACTGTGGGAGAACTGAAGCTGCAAGATCTGGTTTGTGGTGGGGGAAACCAAGAACCATAAGAAATTTCTAGTTCAAACTGACTTCACAGTTTATAGACAGAAAAAGTTGCAGTTGCCTTTTTTTTTTTTTGTAGCCAAGCCATAGCAGAATTCTGTGCAGAAACTGATAGCCAAAAACTATGTACCTGTGCTCAGCCTAAGTAGTTTCAGAACTAATTAACCGTATAAGTACCTATGTACTTAGAAGCTCACATATATTTGTAGCCTTTACTGCAGCTATGTTAAGGGCAGATGAAAACCTATATATTTTATATTGAAGCATGCCATACACTCCAATAATTATCATCACTTATAATTCTTCCTTGTCTTTTTCCCAAGTAGCATATAAATCAGGGTAATCCTGCAAACTACTTCTAGTCAGGTCTAACGTTATATTCTGTACCTTGGCGCTCATGGCAGCCCTGTTATATCTGTGAAGGTGCTAGTTGATATTTCTACCTTAAAACAGATGGAGTAACTCTAGCATCATTTATTATTCCCACTCAATTATGAAAGAGTAAAACACACTAAAGCCCAATGTAAGTAGATTATACCATTAAGAGATTCTTCATCAGTATACACTTCCTAAATCCTTAAACACCCCCTAACAAAAATATGTTATACAGTTTTTTAATTAGATGCATTTCAGCCAGGGCATGAATTCTGGGTCTCCAGATTATAATTTTTGATCCATTCACTAGCTCAGTTTCATCATCAAGCGCTTTAGAACAAGAAGAAAGCTTACCTTGTAAATTCACCATTAATGTCACTATTTTTTTGGCAACTGAACAAGTAGATGAAAAGATAAGCCCCAAAAGAAATCATAAGACAAGTTTTTCCATCACTCCTTCATAAGCACCAGTTCCAAAGTACACAGTCCTGCCCTACTATTGGAGAGGCTGGGGCCTTAAGAAACACGTTTATAAATCACCACAGCTGGATCACGCACAAGTTCAGCCGCTTAGATATCAAGCCTACCTTAACAGGTCAACCCCCAAAAAATAATTGGAAAAAAAATTTAAAAAACAAAATTCAAAAAAAAAGCCACCAAACAAGGCAGACTACTAGTTACTATAAAGCACTAAGCTGTCAAGCCAAGCACTGCCATACTAAGCACACGAACATTGCTTTACCACCTTGCACGAAGAGCCCGCGAGCAAAGCACCCCAGTGTCGCTGCCTCAGCTCGGGGGAGCCCACCGCAGTCCCCAGGAGGGACACCCGGGGAAAGCGCTGCCCGGCCTTACCTGCGGCCTCCTGCGCTAGCCCGGCCCTGCTGCCCGACTGCCGAGGCTCAGCTGCCGCCCGCCCTTCCCGAGCTTTCAAAGGAGGCGGGAAGCGGCCCAGGCCAATGGCAGCGGGAGCCGCCCGCCCGCAGGTGCCCGGTCGGGCTCGGCAGGAGCGGCCGCCGCCGCCTCCGAGTGCGCCGCCAGCGGTGCCCAGCCTGGAGGCATCTCTGGAGACAGCAGCTGCTTCCTCCAGCCCCTTTCTTTCGACTTCCCGAGACCAACAAATCCGTGATTATTGTCTCCCGTTTGCTTAACCTTGGTGATTTACACAGTTTACATTCCCCAAAAATTGCTGTATGAGCTGTTTTCATAACCAACAGCTAGGCAGAGATATTATGTTTTTAAAACTATTTTTTTTTTCAAGGGCTTATGTGTTATTCAGAACGTTCCTGGATAGTTTCAGGGGAAAAAAAAAAATGAAACTTTGTGGAATTATACTCCCTGCTAAACCTCATAAGGAGAAAAAACAGATTTAGACTACAGATTTTTTTTTAAACAAAGCAGTAAGTTAAAACAAACTTTTTATTTTTCCCTCACTATTTCACTTTCATAAGCAGAAAAAGCTGTACCTCAAATTTATCCTATTTTTTTCTTCCTTTGGATATATTGTGGGATCAAAGAATCATAAAATCATAGAATGGTTTTGGGTTGGAAGGGGACCTTGAATATCAAGGTCCAACACCCTGCTGTGGGCAGGGCCACCTTCCAATAAACCAGGTTGCTCAAAGCCCCATCCAGGGATGGGGCATCCACAACTTCCCTGGGCAACCTGTTCCAGTGCTTTACTACCCCCACAGGGAAGATGTTTTTTTTCCTAATATGATTAGGAATGGGACAGAAAGGGTAGGGGAGTGTGTGTTTTCTTGTTCGATTTTGGTAATTCTTTAAGTATTCAAACAATATGAAATCAGACACACCTTAAAAGCTGTGAAATAAAGAGATCTTGGTTCAGTGTTTTTCAACCAGTTTCCTTAAAAGCTGAAGTGAAAATTGATTTTCTATCTAAAAATATGTGCATCCAAAATCTCCATCTCCAGCTTCAGAGAGCTTTCTGTACACAACAGTGGCATTCAATAAATGCTTTTCTCTGATGAAGCAAGGCTTTGGCAAAAACAGGAAGAGTACAGGTACTTGACACTTGACAGAGGCTGTAGGGGGGTAATGGGAGATCAGAGAACAATGAAAATAAATTCTAATTTATCATCTCTATATTTGTGCAAGGTGATTCTAGGAAACTAGATGCAGATGACATCAAGTTGGGTGATGCTGCTGACACACCTGAAGGACAGGATACCAACCAGAAGGACCTAGACAGGCTCCGGAAGTGGGCCCATGGGAATCTCATGAGGTGCAACAAGGCCAAGAGCACGATGCTGCACCTGGGCTGAGGCAATCCTCAGCACCACACAGGG